ATATCAATATTAACATCAAATTGAAATCTCCAGACAAAGAAAACATTCAAAATAAACTGGTGATAATGAGAAATGGTTTTATGACGTCAATTGCCTTTCATGTACGTAAGTGACAATGTAGTAGAATAACTTTGTATTATTATATTGTGATTACATTTTTTAAGGAAAGAATATGAAAGGAGAAATGATACTAAAATTGGCTACAATCAGATTTAAATTGATAATTTAATTAAAATAACATAATATTCTATTATAAGACGCTTAAATATCGGATAGAAAACAAAAATATGTATCTATTTTTGAATTATCTTTTAATATGATCAGTAAAGGTCTACAAACACAGATTACGTACGTCATTCTGTATTTTTCGATATAAACTATAATATGTAAGACGTGATATAAACGAAACTGATAACTTATCTCTCTCTCTCTCTCTTTCTCTCTCTCATCCTCTATTTGCAGACATTCGACAGATAACACATATATGGTAGTTTATATGCTCAATATGAGCATAAACTACTTTGACCAATGAACAGAGTAATATTTTGATTTCTTATTAATTCATATACCTTACATGATTTACATAAACAATTAGTATAGACATTATTATAACCGTACGTTATTGTTGAATATATTCTAATTTTTATTGATATGTGTATGCATTTTTAAAAAAACGTGGTTGTCCACAACAGTAACAGATACATCTTAGAATTAATAATAATTCATATTTATATACCATTCGCAAGAAAAAAGACGGAAACAAGCGATGGTACTCAGAAAAAGAAAAAATGAAGGAAATGGAACTCATTAAGAGAGTATCAACGTAAAGTACCATTCGATTTTTCCGATGGAAATTATGCGTAAAAATACTTTGTTTTTATACTTGAGAAAAATATACGTTTTTGAGTTCTTCAACCAATAGTACTGTATGAAACACGACAGATACTAAAAGTGAGTTTTATACCTATTTATTTATGAATTTAGTTAACCCAATCTTAGTTTTACATTAACTCTAGGAACTCCAATCAGATACTCAGATATTCCATAGCAGAATGTTCTTAAGTAAAAGTTACATAGCGAAAATATCTAGATGTTCTTGTTGGATCATTGGACAATGCTCTAGCTAAAGTAGTAAAATAATTTCTCACCTAAATTCGATTGAGTTTAGCTTGACACGAATATCTATAAATATGCAATGTTATCTAATTACATGGAGGAAAATATTTCCCTGTGCAAATATTTTTACCTATGTATTCTGATGGTGGATGCTTTTTCGCTCCTTGGATTGTGCTATTTGACAAAATCTTATATTATATTGTATTTTATTATGAATTTTATATGATCGTGATGAAATCTAAATCTAGTCCTTTTTTTTTAATTCTTGTTACGATTGTGAAAATGTCTTATACCCCAATGAAAGTTCTTTTATTATGGGCAATGAAAGTGAGATCATTTCGTTGTTAAAATAAGGAGAAGCAAGACTTTTAGGTGACTGTAGAGAAGAGAAGATGTGAGTAAAAGGATGACGTTGTAAGTGAATTGGTCTTCCCCGTAGAGGGCGCCATTTCTGCAGATATCAGACCAATTCAAAAACGAAAAGAGATTTGAAATTCTTTATTAACATTTGCATTTCTTCCAGTCATTGATGTTTTTCCAATGTAACAAAAGTGTGTGAAATAGGAGACTTTTTTTAATTAGTCTACAAGCTTCACTAGAATCTTTTGACTTAAGTAAAGTACTTCTCAATTGGAATTTGATGATTTATTAGAAAACAGATTAAATTGATGAAGAAGTGGGGCTTATTGTCTCTTCTTTTGTGTTTTAATAATCCTTGACGCTCTCCTATGCGCTACAGTGTAAAGACTTAATAAAAAAGATATTAGACACATAATCTATATAACATCCGTTATTTGATTAAAAAACAAAAGTTGTTGTGAAGCCTAACAAGAAAATGTTCAGATAAAACCGTACAGCTCACGTGCACTGGAGTTTTGGTAGCACTTTTTTCTGTTGTATATCTAAGGTAAGTTTGAACTTTAATAGTTGTTTTTCAGGTCTTAATTTAGTTCAGTGCTGAAAGATAAACTATATTATAAAATCGATACTCTCATTACAGACCCATCTGGCTTATCGTCAAACCGCGATATATATACCAAATTGAGAAAAAAACTTCTCAAGGTTTAAATGAAAGAAGTATAGGTTAAAGACTTTTTCAGTGTTATTCTTCTCATTTCGCTTCTAGTGAACCAAAAAACATGTCTATTTTTTCAAAAACGTTTTTTTTCCAACATGGCAAAGTAAAAAAGTTTTTGTAATTTCGGTTACGATCCAAGAGTACTGTTAACGACCGTTTTAGTCTTAAGTCAATTCGTCTTTATAGTCAATGTCAGACTACAGAATGAGGCTACTTTTCTCTCTCTCTCTCTCTCACTCTCTTTTCGTCTGTCTATTGTTGAACGATCGATGGAACATATTTTTTAAATTAACATAACGATTTGCGATTTCTACCGCGTTTATCTAAAACTAAGAATAAAAATATATAAAATCAATAAATGCTAGAATAATAATAAAATCAAGGGCTCTACTCATTGAATCTACAGTAACTAACTACTGTACTTCTCACTCTCTTTCTTTTCTCGTTTTTTATTATTTTTTTAAGAGTACTACGCTTTTCGCCAAGCACATCTAACGCGAAAGAGTGATTTGTTTTTCGATAGTCATCGATTTCTATTCATCAATAAGTTTTAATTAATAATTGAATTAAACAAGAGAGAGAACCAGAGAAAAAGGGATTTTCCCATTTTCTCACATCATTTCGTTTAAATCATAATGGTTTTTTCAATACTTAAGTATTATATATATCGTTTCAATAAAACATCTTGAAAAAAAAAAGAATTAGATAAGCAGTGAAATGAAATATTTCTGGAATAATACAAAGTCGACCAATTGAATAGAGAATAAATAAATAAATATATATATATATATATATATACATAGAAATTCAACGTAGTGAAAAACCTAATCAATAATCTCTTTTTAAAAACAACTGCGCATCTTCTGTTTGCAGATGGGATAGTCGAAAATGAAACAAAAAGAAGAAGGAACTAGGCGAACTCTTATGTATTTTTATCTCGCTTGTTTGATGATGACTATCAAAAGATAGATTTTTCATTCATCAACATCATCGTAATTCTTGTTTTTCATTCTTCTTTCTACTAATTCATTTTTCAAACAGGATAAGTGATTGTCTGTTCTGAGTTTTGAGACATTCTTTTCTGTCTTTCCTTTTCTCCTATTATTATCATTTTTTTTTTTTTTTTTGATGAACGTACAACCTATAGAGAAGTAGTTGTGTGGATGAAGCAATCACCATAAATGATTGTCATCATCATCACTATCGTAATTGTGTAATGTCGTTAGCTTTCCTTTCGTTTTTTTCTTCTTCTTTTGTTTCAACTTTCTAAGTGAGAATACCTAGAAAAAAAACTACGATTTACTGAACAACATGACATCAAAAAATAGATATCCCTCGTGATTTATGAATTATATGTTGTATATTTCGTGAGTGACTATAACATTTTTTTTTTTGTTTTCAACTACAGTTCAAAACACCGGCGGGCAAAATGTAGTTAAATGTGCAAAAAAAAAAAAAAAAACAAATCGACTTGTCGATGTAGCTAAATATATGAAATAAAACTGATGCATTAATTGTCTGAAGCAATGTATCGAATGATATATTAGCATAGTTTTTTTCTAGAAAATATTTTTTCATATGTGATATATATCACAGACGATGCTTAATTAATATCATATTTTTTTAAAAGTCATTTTGGTATAAGAAGTTTATTTTTCATATTTAATCATTCATTAACACATAAGTTTAAGTAATAAGATTGACAGTTTATAAGAGTGATTTTGATCCTGTCTTAGTTTAGAAAACAATGTCTATAGTCATAGGATATTCTATATTATAAAATAAACCATTTTAATAGATTTTAAGTATTTAATTATGTAAGAAAGATGAATGACACTCTTTTAAATAAGATGACATTCTTCTATCCGAAAATTTGTCGGATTTATACGGTTGAAAATAACATGAATAAACATAAGATGGATTAATTGAAAACGAATAAATCCGACTTATTTTCAACCGATCTATATCGTCTTAAAATAAGGCACATTATTTTCGTTTTAATCTAGACTGAAAGGCTTTAAGCTGCATTTATTATAGGAAAAAAGATTAAAACTCTCTTAGATGTACTTTTAGGTAAAAAATTTTGTTTTTGCTATTGGATTCACGTTTTTATAATTCAGAATCTTAATTTAAGAGAGAGTACAAATATAGAAGGAAAAAAAAACGGATATTTTTTAATACAAATTCGTCTCAGTCTGTCATATTTCTGACCAATAATTCAACTCTCATATCTCAAATTCACGTTAAATCCTAATGAATTTCTAGTTTAACATCAATAAAAAACTTTTTATCAAACAAATTTGAAAAATAAGAATTTTTTTTTTTTGTTTATTTTACCATACTGTTTGATTTATAATAGCATTTTGGTATGATACTCATTTTATTTTATTTATGTGTTAAATGATCGGTCTGACATTTTGAACTCATTCGATCATAAAATATAATAGTAAATGTTTGTAAAGTTTATTAAAATTAAAATTGATTTTTATTCTTAGAAATGTTATACATTCGTTAAATATGGTTGAATGTTTTCTCTATATGGGCAGATAATAAAACAATATTTGTGTAAGTCATTCAATGTATGAATTATATTTTTGCTCCGATATGAATATTCTTATATAAATCATCTTTTATATATCTACAATAAAATTCTTACAATAGTATCAACATCAAAGATTTCGACACAAGTCTAATGTAAATTATGAGCGAAGTTATTTTCTTTCTAGATGATGTATGATCAAAATTGTGTGTTGTAAAAAAATGTTTTACAACCAAAATTACAATTTCATTAATTTTTCATTTTCAAATGTATTCGTCATCATACACAATAAAATTAAAAATAACTTATTTAATCAAATTTCATTCTTATTCTTATTCGTTATCAACCATTAATTATAATCAAATTGGTACAACCATTGTCTATAAAAAAATTGTTCTTTTATCATCATCGAATGTTGTTATAGTAGAATTAGCCTCATCATCATCTAAATTTCAATATCGTCAAATTCTAGAACAATTATTATTTTCATCAGCAATCAGTCTGGATTCGGATACGACATTTATTTATAGAGTCAGTGAATATCTGCTCAAAGTATATCCGGTGATTATGTTAATATTAGGTGTATTTGGTAATGCACTATCATTTTGTGTACTCATTCGACAATCTATGCGTCGTTATTCAACATTTTGTTATCTTGCTTGTTTAGCACTTGTTGATATTGGTGTGATATTAACGTTTTGTATTAATTTTATTCTATTATATCATTTAAAATATGATATGCAAGAAAAAGCATTTGCTTGTAAATTATTTGCTTTTTGTACATATTTTTTACCACAATATTCATCATGGTTACTAGTAGCTGTGAGTTTTGATCGTGTTATATCAGCAAAATATTTAAAATTAGCTAAAACATGGACAAGACCAAAACAATCATTAGTTATTATGATTGCTCTCGGTCTAATATTAGCATTAATAAATATACACTTTTTCTTTTATAAAAATTATTCAATACAATTGCCAACAAAAATTATTACTACAACACTATCAAATATAAATGGAAACCGATCAGTTAGTTATGAACCACAGCTTGCCCATTTTTCTGATGATCAAACATCATTTTCATATGATTCATTATCATTTACCGAAGCTGTTCCTGATACTGGTCAATTGAAATCATATTATGCTGATACAACTATGGCATCCGTCCTACCAATAAAATCATCACCTAATATTATTGTTATCGATGATACATTTAAAATACCTGATGTAAATATCATTCATTGTTCATTAGAAAATGATCCACGTTTAGAATGGTTATATCCATATTGGGCATGGATTGATCTACTTATGAATGTTATTATACCATTTACAGGTATAAATATTTGCTTTGAACTCTATCGTGATATATCAAATCCATTACTTTAAACGAATATCCAGATAGAAATATATCCTAAAAGTATTTGCTATTCATAGTCGTTGTTTCTCTAGCCCCGACCAAAAATTTTAGCAAATTTAAACTAACAATAGTTACGATTCATTATAGTTTTGTAAATTAGAGGCATCAGAGCATTGTTGGTGTCCAATTTACTGTTTGAATAGATAAATGTCATACTCACCTCTGTAATTCTACTAAGACATACTGGCGTGTTCTCTCTACAGAGATACTCGTTGACAACTAACTCTTTATTATAGGTCAAAAATCGTAAAGATAGTAGAGGAAGGTAGGGTAGAATCAAACTCAAATCGTATTAACTATCTCTCAATCTCTTGAGTTTTAAAGTCTTAATACTTTCATTCTACTATTGCAAACGAAAATACAATGACTGTTGTACTCTATGCCGTGCAACAGAGTGCTTTTCATTAAGTAATGCAAATAAACTCAATAGTTGTAGAAAACAAGTAACACTAGTGTTTACTGACGGATACGCGATGTAATAGGAGAACAAATAGAGCCATAAAATTAAAAAAACGTCTATATGAATAACAATAGTATTCTTTTAGTTTTAAATACAATGAAAAGATTTACATATTTATGAGAAAATTTCTGATTAAATTGAACCGTTAAAGAAAGAAAAATACTTCTAATTGGTAAAATTTATTCATAGTTATTTATATTTTTAGCTATGATTGCGTGTACAGTCGCTATTATTTTAACTATATTACGTTCAAGTCAAAAATCGGGTTCAACATCGGCAAGTCGTTCACGTCGTCGTCGAAATATTAGTGTTATGTTAGTTACGGTTAATTTAGTGTTTATTAGTTTAACAGCTCCCATTGTTATTTATCTAAGTGCGTATGATCAATTAAAAAATGAAAAAAATTATTATCGTTCAGTTATTTTACGTTTAATTAAAATTTTCTGTATTATATTAATGAATTTAAATCATTCAATAAACATTGTTATTTATAGCGTAACTGCAAAAGAATTTCGTACAGAAATGACAAATTTTTTACACGCTGTTCTATATTCTATTATTGGTGGTGGTCCAAATGAACAACATTTGAACTATTATGATGATGGTAATCTTGTATCACGATTAAGAACAATTCGACACAGCATATTTAATTGTTGCAGTTTAAAAGTAAGAGTTTATTCATCGAATGCCACAGAGAGTAGTAAAACAAATCAGCACAACAATAATAACAGTAGTAACTATCAATCAGTACGAAAAAAAGGACCACGACGAAGTCGATGTGATAGTACCGAACGTGAACATATTGTAAGAACAAGTGATGGGGCATGTATTGCAAATAAGTCACATCGTTTAACTGTACAATTACAACAGAATGAAATGTCATCCGTATATGAAAAAGAAATATCATTTAGAGGATTATCTAATTCAACCGAAGATTGAACGACATTATTTTCGTCGTCTTTGTTGTGTATGCAATTTTTTTTTCTTCATTTTTCTTTTTTCTTTTTGTTTTGTTATAATGGTTTTTCTTAAAAACTGACTCCAATTATCTTTCTATGTAGCAGTTGAATATAAAAGCACAATACATAACTAACTTAACGACATTGTGTTTAAGGTCACTAATGCACGAAAGGTTATATTTTATTGATCTATCTAATTCTTTATTAGACTATTTCATCATATTCAATTAACGTGAGATTTGGAGAAACAACAAACATCATATAATACATAGTGCGTGTTTGATAGTATTAACTGATTTTAATTATGCAAATTGGCAAAGACAATTTTGAAATAACAAAAGAGAAAATATTCGTTAATTAGTCACATGAAGAGATCAGGCCTTTGCAGAAAAATCGAAGAAAGCACACTGGATATATGTCGTACAAAATAATTACTATCCCAAACAACAACAAAATGAGCTGATAATGGGCAGTTAAGCTAACGAGGGAACCTATGGAAGTGTTCCTCTCAGTTTTTCTTCGAACATATGCCGATCTATAGCATATATCAAGATAGTAAAAAGTCTAAAAAGACCTGGAAGATTTCTGCTGACTCTCCCTTCAATAATTAGAGCAGTTTTTCTGTTTTTCCCAGCGGAAATCGAGAAAAATAGAAAAATTCATAACTCCGTCAAATCAACTCGTATCTAGTTGAAATTTTTACACCAGGTAAGGCTGTACAAGCATTGATTACTCTGAAAGATTCAGCCCTCTAGCATGTTCTATTCCCAAGTTATAAGATTTTCTATTATAGTGGAGAAAATCTTAGATGTTTTCTTTAATGTGTTCTTTTGTTGTTGTGTCTACTATATTCTCTTGCATTTAGAATCACACCTACTCTCTCTGTTTGGATCGTGCTAGAGAGCTGAACCTATCAGAGTAATCAATGCTTGTATAGCCTTACCTGGTGTAAAAATTTCAACTAGATACGAGTTAATTTGACGAAGTTATGAATTTTTCTATTTTTCTCTATTTCCGCTGGGAAAATCTTCCAGGTCCTCTTAGGCTTTTTACTATCTCGATATATGCTATAGATCGGCATATGTTCGAAGAAAAACTGAGAGGAACACTTCCATAGGTTCAGCTCATTGTTTCACCCAGTTGCGCTAATTTCACAATGTATGATCCAATGTAGAACCATACAATTAAGTTAGATCTTCACTTTATTGGAAGTTGTCTACTAGGTGGAATGGCTAGTCAACCGATTAGTCAAAGTAGCTGTCATTGAAGCAAGGCCCAGCCGAGCGATTAATTGGATTAACGTGAATGTTAACCTTCCATTCTTACTCGATTATAGTAACCTACTGTCCGATGTATAGGTTAGAACTAGCTAAATAGATAAAAAGGTACGTTTACCTGGATCCATCAAATGAATAACATCCCCGTTATATCGTTTATGGAGCTAGCTATTCTCACAGAGTATTTTTCCTTTGGAGATGGAAATCGTCTAGGGCAATAATTCAACTCAACTAGGATCAAAGGTAAAACTGTTTTTTTATATAGTTTTTGTATCGATTAGAGATTGTGCGTCGTAATATCGTCCATGAGAAGATGTCTATTTACTTCATAAAATAGGTGATGATACAAGACATCACAAGCTGAAGCACAATTTGCAAGATTTTGCAAGATCGTACAAGAACATATGGAATCTTGTTATATGCTCTTACACGATGTTGCTAGCAGTGATGGCTCATAGTACCACAAAAACTTTGCTATGATAAAAGAAAAAAGGAAGAGACAGGAGGGAAATGATAGCAAAAAGCAGTCATTCTAGTTTAAATGTTCAGATGAATTTCTTAAAAGATTTTATGAATTCTTAGACGATCTTGTAAATTTCCGCAAGTTTTATCTGTGCTCGAGAAAGGAGGTTGACAACTGGTCCACTCCATCTTTTGTTAGAACCGCTCTGTAGATAGTAGAAAAGCTTTTTTATTCAGTTTTAGCTAGTTCGCGTACGTTTGATGAATAAAATCCGAGTGATTTCTCCACTGTAAAGCGTCAGTAGATTATCACTCAAAGGTGAGTTATGGGTTACATAAGTGGTGTTTTTCTCGTCTTTCCTCAGTGTAGCGACAAAGTAAATATACGATTGGATAGCTCGTAAAATTCTGTAGAAAATGCGCATAGAAAGACAGAAACCTGCAGTGCTTTGGCAGCCGTAGGGTGCTGGGAATAATCCAACATATATAACATAATAGAAAGTTGCTGCTTTTGCAGCTCTTTTTTATGCCATAACTATGTTTCAAATCGCATTTGAAACATTGGAATAAGAGTCTAACGGAAGATCAATTCATCAGTTCAACATAACTCTACCGTTCTAATGATTGAAGTTCAGTAACTTTTTCTTAAAATCAAATTTAAAACATATTGTGGAAGATTTATGGCTTTTTACAGGTGACTAAGTTTCACTTTCTATTGCTACGCTAATACTACCATTGACTGAATCAAAAAAATCTCACGATCAAGAGAAGTTGCTAAGCGATCTTGAAGGCGTTGACACGATGTTGGTGATAGAAAGAGTATACCAGCAGACGATACATCAAATGCTGAATTGGACTGAAATCGTATATTACATCCGTAAGGTCTCCACTGAGATACAATCCATATTTTAATCAAGTATCTCAGTTGAGATACCAATATTTCTGTGAAAATATTCGTTTCTGAACTGAGATACATTTGATAAAATATGAGCTTCACGAATTTGTTCGGATTGTTTCCACTGTCAGACATAAAAAAGACAACTTTATACGTCGTAAGCAAAAATAAATTTCGGAAAAGTTTCTAAAGCCGGTTTTCCAGAGGGTCTTTGGAAAACGAGCTCCGTTTTCAGAAGATTAAGATACGACGTTAGTAACTT